CTGTGGTCCGTAGCTCGTCGTTTTCAATGTGTTCAGAACTTTAACCTCCAGGATAGCTGAAAAGTGTTTTTTGGTTTTTCTGTTCTGTTGATTTGACTGCTCACTTTCAAACAGTTCTGTCACAGCATGGTCTCAAATACTCATCAAACTATCTGGCGAATTTTATTTCAACCAAACCACGCATTATGGCCAAATGAGATAAAAAACATCTAAAATGCTACAAATCTTGAACTCCCTTAATATATTTTCAAACGCAGGTGCAAAAAAAAAAGTATTTATGTGCATACTATGTACATTAGGGTGCTCATTGAAAATGTTTTTTTTTGGAAATTTCAAGACCCTATCCCCTAATTTTATTCGTTTTCATGAAAATATTATTGCCTATTTTTATAGATATTTTAAAGGTCATTTAGAGGTCGCGACATGTCCATTTAGGTTAAAAAATACGGTTTTGTAGATTTATGAGTTTTTGAATGACCATTTTTGACTCGATTTCAAAGATCGAATGTCATCTGAGAAGAGGATATATAGGCCTTTAAAATGGTATTTAATAATCTATTTTCGGACTTGGCTTGTTGGGATTTTTTATGGGGTAAATTCAAAAAAAAAAACATATTTCTCTTAATTTTTTAAATTTTGACCATTGATAATTTCCACAATTTTAAGATATGTAGTACTCTCTAAAATTAAATCTATTTTCAAATAAACTGATACCTCAATCGCATTAAAATTGTCGAATTTAGGAGACTTTTAAATACGGCCTTGAATTTATATTGTTTATGTACCGGACTTTCAGATTTTTTGAGCAGTGGGGCTAAGGAGTTCATCAATATTTATTCAAAATTTATATACATATAAAATAGACTGCATCACTCCCCATACAAAAAAAAAACCGGTACCGTTTTTCCATTGGAATTATAAAATCTATTATATTTTAAGACGTCCACCAAAATATTTCGAAAAATATTAAGATTTAAGTGAGCTGGACCGATTTGAAAATACCTCCAAAAATTTAGTTTTTTATGAATAAAAATAGTTTCTTAAAGATTTTTTTTGAAAAAATCCCCTCAAATGACAAACCGGTTTAAGCTTAAAAAATTCGCGTAAAAACATTTTTATAAAATGTAAACAAAATTTAGAACGGAATCGTAATAATGAGATTTTTGATGCTGTTTTTAACTTTTTTCAAAGATTGGTATAAGATTGAATAACTGAGCCTAAACTCTCCCGATTTAGACTTGTGAGATATCATTGGAAAGGTATTTTCTCACCCTTTTTATTTCTTTGCTAATAAACTCATTCAAAGGATGAAAGAGAAAGGTAGGATCAACGAATATCATTCAAAGTTGAATTAAGATGTGTTGGTATTTGAAAAAAAATATATTGGGACACGAATAACTTTTTTTGCACATAAATAGAAATAGTGGGAAAATACCTTTCTAGCGAGATCCCATAAGTCTAAATCATAATAGTTTTGGCCCAGTTATTTAAGTTTTTCGCAAATCAATCTTTGAAAAAAGCAAAAAAACAGCATCAAAAATCTCATTATTACGATTCCGTTGAAAAGATTTTTAAATATTTTTATGCAGAATTTTTAAGCCTAATTTGTTTTGTCATCTGAGGGGATTTTTTTCAAAAAGTTCTTTAAGAAACTATTTTTATTCATAAAAAACTCCATTTTCGGAGGTATTTTCAAATCGGTCCAGCTCGCTTAAATCTTAATATTTTTCCGAAATATTTTGGTGGACGTCTTAAAATATAATAAATTTTGTAATCCCGGCGGAAAACCGCAACTTTTTTTGGTGATGCAGTCTAATATACAATCGTTCTTTAGAAAAGAAGTGGTTTTTCAGGAATTTTTAGGAAAATGGGAGTGGCACCGCCCACTTATATGATATATGCGTATCACAAAAACTACTTGATCGATCTCTACCAAATGTGGTATACACATTGTGCTTAGCCTCCTTAAGTACCGTCTTGAATATTTTTGAAATCCGACAAAACGTAACCCCCCTAAAATATAGCTAGCTTTGTGTTTTTTGTAACGGTAGTTTTGGTGAAGTCAAACTACGTTGGTGAAACGGCCAAAATTTAAAAAATTAAGAGAAATATGGTTTTTTTATTTTATTTTCCCCATAAAAAATCCCAATAAGCCAAGTCCGAAAATAGATTATTAAATACCATTTTAAATGCCTATACATCCTCTTCTCAGATGACATTCGATCTTTGAAATCGAGTCAAAAATAGTCATTCAAAGACTCATAAATCTACAAAACCGTTTTTTTAACCTAAATGGACAGGTCGCGACCTCTAAATGACTTTTAAAATATCTATAAAAATAGGCAATAATATTTCTCATAAAAACGAATAAAATTCCAAAAAAAAAACTTTTTTGATGAGCACCCTAATGTACATAGTATGCACATAAAGAAATTTGTTTTGTACCTGCGTTTGCAAATATATTAAGGGAGTTCAAGATTTGTAGCATTTTAGATGTTTTTTATCTCATTTGGCCATAATGCGTGGTTTGGTTGAAATATAATGCGCCAGATAGTTTGATGAGTATTTGAGACCATGCTGTGACAGAACTGTTTGAAAGTGAGCAGTCAAATCAACAGAACAGAAAAGCCAAAAAACACTTTTGAGCTATCCTGGAATTTAACTCTTGATATTGGTGCAGTAGAGCTAAGCGTCCAAAGTTAAAAAAAATACTTTCCTAGCACAGCAACAGCAGTTTTTTAATGTATTTTTTACTTTTTCAAACACTGTTTAGTATTATAGTAGAGTTTAATTTTATTTGCCAAAAGATTAAATTTATTTGCCAAAAGATTAATTTTATTTGTCAAAAGACAAATTTATTTGCCAAAAGATTAAATTTATTTGCCAAAAGTTTAACTTAATGTGTGAATGCTATAATCATAAGTGTTTATTCATATCGCCCGCATATAGCTGATATCGGCCGAGCACAATTCGGCCGATGCCGGCTGCAGTGTACGCGTAGCGTTAGAAAAAACTAAGAAGGTGTGTACTGTAATTCTTAACCACATTTTCGTGATTTGCTTTTGATGTTACATAAATTCGTTTCAATAATTTCAAATGGGGCTCTTTGGAGAATTTATTTTTAGCAAAAATTTTAAAAAACAGTAATTTTGTTTACTTGTCGGGCAATATTTTTTGTTTTCATAGAGATATACATTGGACGCTTGGCTAAAAACTTCTGTGGTAAAACTGTCCCTTCTTTGCTATTTAAAATCAAAGAGTAAGCTCCTTCAATAGGGATTTCCAGCAGAAATGATCAACGTCTGGCTATAAAGAGAATCGATGCCCAAATAATTAAAAAGTTATGGGTCTGACCTTTATTAGGATAAGAATAACGTAACTATCTGAGATTGAAATGCTTATAAAAAACAGGGTGCTGTTTAAAAAAAACAACAATATTCTGCTCCGATTCGGCTGGCAGTCACGACTTTGAAAACAGAATTTTGTTCAAAATGCTCATTCCTAAAAAATAATAATTTATTTTCCACAGCTCGCTATAAGTACAAATTTTTCAAACCAGTCGCAGAATAAAGTATTAAAAATGAATTACAGAAACTAAAATCGAAAAACGCTGATGAAGTTACAGATTCCCCAAATTCTGAAACAGTCAAAGGAATGAGAATGAAGAATTATTTTTAAAAGCTTTATGGTGATTTCGTTTTTTCGAAAAAATGTTGCCTTCCCCGGTGCAAAATGTGTTTGATGTTACACAAAACCCTGTAAAAAGCGTGTTTTTGCCTTCTTGTCCTTGTCTAGCTCATATATTTCATAATATTACTGTTTTAAACAACCATCTGGTTTTCAGGGCAACCATCTTCCCTGGCAAAGCTTCACAGGGCATGGAATGTGATTTTTGCCTTTAAAATTGTTAAATTTCTGATGCAATTTGAACGAGATGTTTCTGGATTTCAATAATTCATGTATTTTAATTCTAAGTTACAAGAAAATGTGTGTGTCTCACAAACGAAGGAGAAGGTCAGGTCAAAAGGAAAATAGTGTTCAAGTGACAGTGTGACTAGTGTTACCAGATCCAACTAAATTGTTAGTAAACTACTGCATGGTAGTCTTTGCAAAATCAATACATTCCTACATTCCCCTTCACGTAATTCAAAAATATTTTTCTCAAAATCCATTTAAAAAAGTAAATGTTACTTAAGTAGTTAGTGGTAGTTAGTACTTTTAATTATAACTTGAAGGATCAAATCGAACAGTCTTAGCTCTAATTCGTTCCGACCGGCGAAGTGGGGTGCCCAATGGTTTTATTTCGGTAGTTTGCTCCGGCTGTTGATCCACGCGTTGATGATTGGTAGGAATTTCGTTTTCACCCCTTGAAATTTCGTCCGTTGCTTGCAGGTCAATGTCAACCGGATCGCTTTCTTCCAATCTACTCCTCCCAGTATAAGCGCGTATTTGATCTTGGTGGCGCCTATAAGCCACACCTCCCGATTCGACGACGTACATTCGGTTACCCTGCACTTTGCTAATCTTCCCCTGGATCCAACGGGGTCCAGAGTAGGAGCGAATCCAAACTGAATTTCCTATGGTGAACTTACTCTTTGTTGCATGTGGCGTTGTTGAGGTAGGAAACAATGCAGATAAGATGGTTCTCGGCTGTCGACCATGCAACATTTCCGCAGGTGATTTACTATTTCTAGGATTCGGTGTACTTCGATATGTAGCCAGATACGTGTACAATGCTCTTTCCGCGTTGCCTTCTTCCATCATAATCTTTTTGAATGCTTGCTTGAATGTGCGTACATACCTTTCCGCCAATCCATTTGATGAAGGATGGAACGGTGCTGTGGTAAGATGATCAATGCTATTGTTCTTACAAAACTGTTTGAATTCCGATGATGTGAACTGTGCTCCGTTATCAGTGACGATAGTATTCGGCAGGCCTTCCACCGACAGAATTCGCTGGAGTACTGCTATGGTGGTCATCGTAGTTGCTGCTGATAGCTTCACGGTATATGGGAAATTGGAATATGCGTCGACGATAATAAGCCACATGTGATTGTAAATGGCCCTGCAAAATCCAAATGTATCCTCTCCCAAGGTTTTGTGGGCTGAGGCCAAGGGGAAAATTCCCGCTTTGGATGACTTGCATTGGCTTGGCAAATACTACACTCATTATGCATCTTGTCTATTTCCGCGTCTATACCTGTAAACCACACGTATCGTCTTGCCATTTGTTTCATACGACCCTTGCCCCAGTGCCCATCGTGCAGCATAGCGAGTACTTTCCTATATGTAGCAGCAGGTAATACAACTCTGGTATAATCTGTTTGAACCATTACTACTCCATTGTGTACTGATAAACAAAGTTTTCGCTTATAAAATTCATCAAGTTTAGCTTGGTTTGGCAAGTTCTGAGGCCAGCCTTCTAGTATATATTTCTTAACTAGCTTAAGGGTACTGTCTTCCTCGGTAAGCTTTTTCAAGAGTTCTGCGTTCAGAGTTGAATCTTCCAGTGCCGCCTGATATACAGCATCCACCCCGAGTAAGTTGCTTTCTTTTTCATCGAAATCGTAGTCATCTCCAACTGGCAACCTGGAGAGAGCGTCTGCGGTAGCGTTGTCCGCAGACTTTTTGAAGTGAATTGTGTAGTCATATGCTTGAAGTACGATGGCCCAGCGTTGAAGTCGGTGAAGCACCATAACAGGTAGCCTTTTTGACGGATTGAAAAGTGTAGTAAGTGCTTGATGGTCTGTAATGAGCTCAAAATGCCGACCGTAAAGATAGTGGTGGAATTTTGTAACACCGTATATGATGGCCAACGCTTCCTTTTCGATTTGAGAGTAGCGTGCTTGGCTGCTGTTGAGTGTTTTAGAGGCGTGCGCGATAGGCTTTTCAATACCGTCTGTATATCGGTGCGAAATTACGGCTCCGATTCCATACTTAGAAGCATCAACTGCTAAAATAATAGGTAGTCTGTCATCGTAGTGAACAAGTTGTGTGGTGGCTACGATAGCATTTTTTAACTTCTGAAATGAATTTTCTTCCAGTCGCCCCCATCTATATTCAACATTTTTACGTCTAAGTCTGTTTAAAGGCGCTGCAAGAGATGAAAAGTTACTGATGAATTTTTTGTAATAATTTACCTTGCCGATAAAAGATTCGATTTCTTTGATATTTTTCGGCGGAGGCATACGTTTAATTGCGTCGACTCGCTTTTCTGATGGCATTATTCCTGTAGCGTTGATGATATGCCCGACGTACTCGACTTGCTTTTCCGCAAAATTACACTTTTCCACCCTGCATGTAAGACCGTGAAAGCTTAAACGCTTAAAAATTTCTTCTACATTACGGATGTGCTCGTCGTTATCTTGGCCGGTGACGATAATGTCATCCAAATAAACGGCACAATGCGGAACACCAGCGATGACTTCTTCCATAAAACGTTGGAAAATTCCAGGCGCACTAGCCATTCCGAAAGGCATGCTCTGAAATTGAAATAATCCAAATGGAGTATTAATAACCGTAAATTTTTTCGCCTCGTCGGTTAAATTGACTTGCAAATATGCGTCGCTTAGATCGATTTTTGTGAAATATTTACCACCTTGTAGCTTATGGAACAACTCTTCTATTCTGGGTATCGGGTACCGGTCGATTTGGATTTGGGAATTCAAAGCGACTTTGAAATCAGCACAAATTCGAAATTTACCGTTTGGCTTTCGCACAACTACGATTGGCGCTGCCCATTCACTCACGCGTATAGGTTTCAACACTTCAGCTTTAACAAGTCGCTCAATTTCAGCTTTCACATCAGCGTGAAGAGCAAATGGTAAATTGTAAGGCTTAAAGAATTTCGGTTTTGCCTTAGGCTGAAGAGTGATATTTGCCTTAAACGTTTTGCAGTTTCCCAGCTTTGATAAGAATATTTCCGGGTGCTGGTTAACACACTGCCTGAGAGAAACGCGCAAATTTAGCTGTGATGCCTCTTCCGTGAACGAACAAGTATTACACACGTTACCAGAAATTTCGTTATCTTGTAAGTCTACCTGAAATTTCAGCATTTTAAACCAGTCTAGCCCAAGAATATTGGTTGCGCGTTCAGATTTTACAACAAGCAGTGGTAAGGATTTGATCGTATCTCTCCATTTAGCTTTCACATTAGTTGTTCCTACAAGGGGTAAAACGTTCCCACCGTACGCCTTCAGAATTTTGTTAGTGGGTTCACATCTCGGTTCGCCTAATATGCGGTATGTAGGGAGGCCTATGAGCAAGCACGTAGCACCTGTGTCTACTTGAAATTCCAACGTTCTGTCATTGATGTCTATGTTTAGTAGAATTTTATCAGCAGCCGTATTTGCTAACGATACCTCGGCGACGCCTATACTCTCGAAAAGCGTATTACTCACCACGTTCACATTGTCTGCATTCTCTTTTTTCGACTTGGGGTGGTCGATCGTGCCGAAGAATGCGATACAGACACTAAAGCAATATGCCCTACCTTACCGCAGGACCGACATTTCGTTTTGTTCTTGTAATGGAAACAGTTCCCTCTGTTGTGTGCAGATCCACAACTAGGGCAAGACTTCCCGCTGACTGACGAGCTTCGCGATTTACTTCGTCCTCCGTTCCGCTTCTTTTCAAGTTGTTTTGATCGGTGAATGGCATTTACGGCTGGTGCGTCCCCCTCACCCTTAATCTCCAAGCACGTTTTGATTGTCGACTCGTACACTGTAGCTATTTGCAATACTTCATCTAATGTAGGGTTAGGCTTTTGGAGAGCTGCACTTCGCACTTTATCATGTGGTGTATGCATGATAATCATATCCCTTATGTTACTATCGAGAAAAGATTTACGGCACCCATCTGCAGCGCATTCGAACATGCACTCTCTCGCAGCACCACGCAACTCAGCCACCCATTCGACATAAGTTTGACTGGGCTTCATTCTAATTGAATAAAACTTAAATCGGGCCGCCAGAATATGCTGCTTTTCAATAAAGTGACTATCTAGAAGCGATTTTACCTCACTGAAGGACTTCCCTTCCAAGTTATTGTCGCTTAGCTTTTGTAGCAGCTCGAACGTTTCCGTACCGATCCAGGACAGAAGACTCGCGCGTTTCATAGTGTCCTCTGTGACATTGTTGGCAATGAAATGATGTTCTAATTGCTGGACATATGTAGACCATTTTTCTACATTTTTGTTGAAGCTTCTAAAGACCGGCGCAGTACTTGAGTGGCAGTCAGTGCCTAGCACGCGCTGCAACGATGCCAAGTTTTGTTGCAAGATTTTTTCAAGAAATTCTTTGTTCGATTCCTGAAATTTTACCAACAGCGAAGATAGCGTCCTTTCGTCCATTTTCTCGTCGCCAATGTTAAATTTCTGATGCAATTAGAACGAGATGTTTCTGGATTTCAATAATTCATGTATTTTAATTCTAAGTTACAAGAAAATGTGTGTGTCTCACAAACGAAGGAGAAGGTCAGGTCAAAAGGAAAACAGTGATCAAGTGACAGTGTGACTAGTGTTACCAGATCCAACTAAATTGTTAGTAAACTACTGCATGGTAGTCTTTGCAAAATCAATACATTCCTACAAAAATAATGTAACATTTTAAGAAACGAACACAAAATTTTCTCACCCTTTGCCTTCAATTAAGAATCGAACACAAAAAGAGAAAGCGTCAATCAAATGGCGAAATTAGCAAATTAGACAAAACCTATCACATCTGGTTTGGCTTCTAAGCGCTGTTTAAACAACGATCCCGCCATTATGCTAAATTCTAATTGTTTCTTAAAAATACTTAACATCCGCATTCGCATCCGCGGATGTTAGCTGTTAGATATTCGTATCCGCGAATGTCTAAAATTTCACATTCGCAACATCCCTAGTACAAACACAGGGTTGCATATCTCATATTTAAATAGCCAATATTGGCCATTTAAGTGCAGATTTAATGTATAATCTGAAAATGAATAGTGGAAGTTAATCAACAATCTCTACTTAAGTAGGCCATCTGAAATAAATTGGGCCTAAATGTCTTATTATGGATCGCAATGGTGCTGATGGTTGATTTAACGGTGGTCATATGAGGTTTACCCCTGGATAACCCAGTCCTGATATCTCCAAATGAAGCTTTAACGCACAGTAATATTGGCAATTCACGTCCAAAGGGCCAATAGGAACACAAGGGAGTTCGACATACTTGGTGGTACAGCACGTCGATGCAATCGGACAATCATGGCACATTTTCTCACTTGACAATGTTTAGGGTGATATTATCACTTGCGAAGCGAACGGATCGGCGAAGCGAATTAAAAGGCAGAGAAGCTATTAAAAGTGTCCGCGATGCAAAGAACTTGCACAAGCTGGTAAAAGCGAACACTCTTAATGCATATTTAAGTTGCGTTCGCCAATACATTCGTTTCGCCAAACCGTTCGCTTCGCCATATTCAACTCCTCAACTCAACTCCAGCACCACCCGGCGGTGTTTTTTTGCAATAGTATTGCCCTTACCGTTACCAATATATAAGTATCTCGAATATAAGCCAGATCGGATCATAACAAAGATTTTTAGTTTAGTAATAACACGATTCCAGCGCCACCTGGCGGGTCAAACTGAGAACATGAACTATCCAGAGACCTACTCAAGCACACGCAAAAAATTTCGTTAAAATCGGTTCGCTTACAAACACACGAACAGAAGAATTATATGTACATTAGGGATGTTATTTTTTCGGCTTTTTCCGATCTCGGCTTTTTCACAATCCCGGGATCCCGGGATTAGTCCCGGAATTTAGATATTCATTACTTTTCAACAACTTGAATCGAAAAAATTGCTTCTATATGATTTGAGAAGCTCTCCTACCATAAAATAAATAATAATAAATGGGTTCGAAACCTACTTTTTTATTTAAAGTGGCGTTTTTATTTTTTCTCTCTGATCGCAGGATTTATTTGACTTTGTAATTTCAAAGATATTATTAATTCCAAAAATTGTTAAAAAAGTTCAATGCAATGTAGAATAAAAATATGAGTAACAAATGCAATAGGAAATTTCTTTAGAATTAAAAAAATTTAAATTTTTTGGGATCACAAGGACGAATAGGTAATTTTTAAGCTGACAAAGTTAGAAGAACGAAGCTCGAGCATGTTATCGAGTTTATATAAGCCCTTAACATATAATTTTTTACAACCTTTTTCGACAAATGAATGTCATTTAGTAAAAATTGGAGAAATGCTTTTGAATAGTATCCAATATGAAGCTCGAGCAGTGAAGAGAACAAGCGCAGTTGTAAATTTGGGCATACAATAGGTAACCATAACCTGGAACAGGTATACAATTTTGTGGACCTTGGTATCACAATGGATCCTAAGCTTAAATTTAATCTTCATATTAATGTGACAGTCAACAAGGCTAAAGGTGTACTTGCAAAAGAATTTTGTGACCCTTATATCACTAAAACCCTGTTTACAACATTAGTTAGGCCAATTCTGGAATACGGTTCGGTGGTTTGGAATCCAAGGTATCAAATTTACTCAGACAAAATAGAGTCAATTCAAAAACAATTCCTACGTTTTGCTTTAAGAAATTTCCGTTGGGATTCTCAATATAACCTTCCACCTTATACGAGCCGATTAAAACTTATTAATCTGCCTACACTTTCCAGCCCCAGGCAAATGCTTGGTACAATTTTTATAGTTAAATTACTAACAGGCTCAATTTCAAGTCCGCTTCTTCTTGACGAAGTTAGCCTTAATGTTCCCTCCCGGGT